TGATAGTTTGTAGGATAAAGTTCTGATAGAGTTGAGTGAGTGTTGTTGGTAAGTGTCCTCCTTCTTTACAATAAACTAAGATGACCATGGAACAGACTAGTGGTACATAACACAATGATTGGACATCATTTCGTACTTTAAGATCATTAATGAGTTTCACTGCTAGTTGTGAGTCCTTACTGCTTTGAGTAGTTGTGAAATGGAATTTGTATTTTGTATATTTTATATCAGCCATAAATTTTAGTAGCATTTCGTCTTGTTTAGTGTTTTCATCAACAAGTTCTTGTGCTAGTTTTGTATCTTTTTGAAGTGTTTGTATAATTACTGTTGATATTTCTTCATTAGAAAACCCAATGACCTGAACATGTCTACTAAGATTAGACATGATCCCTAAAAGTGAAGAGGAGGCATAGCTACGAGAGGTAACAATTACTGAACATTGGTCTAACTCCTTTCTATGAATGATACTAGCAGCTAATGAAGACTGTCTGAGTTGTTCACTTAGTTCATCCCAACCATCAAAGATTATCAGTAATCCTTCTCCATTCCTCTTCTCAAACCATTCAGTTACCATGGGAACTTCATAACATCTATACTCAAACATGTCAGCTAGTGTAGTAGCTGTAGCTATCTTGCTATTCCTTAAAGGACAGTAAAGTACCAAGTCATACTGTTGGTGTACAAGTGGTCCATTAGACCACATATTTAACAGTTTACGACAGAGTGTGGTCTTGCCAATACCAGGAGGACCATCTATTACTACTCTGAGAGACAGAGAACTATCTGTGGGTTGGAGGACATCTTCAACACTTATCTCTTTGTTTTCAGTTAGTTTAACTGTTTCATCAACTTGTCCTCTTAGCAGATGCCAAGCTGATTCGGCTTGTGTGCTGGAGTCTTGTTTTTCTACTAGTACTAGTCTTCCAAAGAAATCTTTTCCAATTCTTGGTGGCCAGTCTGTAGCAACAATAGGTTGATGTTTGTAGTGTTGTCTCATATTGTCAGCATATCCTTGAACATCATCAGGTATTGAACTAATGGATGTGACATTATCAGGAATAGACTGACCTAATGTATTGAGATATAATGACAATATTGATCATTGATAATGTACACACACACACACTCACCTAACTGGTGTAATATAGAGGTAGCAATATCTGTTAGTGTACGATGTTGTTGGTTTATTAATACATGACATATATCAATAAGATATTGCTCTGGATTAAGAGAGGATTTCAACTGCCGTTGTATCACAGACACTAATTGACTTGATTTAACAACATCAGAAGAAGCTGCTGTTTGAATATTATTAACAGTTTCCATTGGTATCAGTCCTTTAGCATACAGTCCATTTGTTACTCTGTGAAGATTATTAGTAATAGCATCAACAAGAGTAGCATAATTCATCCTTAATATAGTACTAGGAGTGTTACCTACAGTAGTGTATCAGTTAATGAGTGTTGTATTAAGTGTATGTTTACCTGTTATAGGACCAGGATTAGCATTACTGCTACTGACTTCCATATCATCATTAGTACTTCTTCCATCTGTGGGATCTCTCACTTTGTCTTCAATAGTTCTAGCTAGTTCATTCTCTTTACATTGTTTCAAAGCATTAATGACATCTCTCCATGATGCTGTAGGATTAACTTGTAACCATCTCTTATGTAAAGCCATTTTCATGAGGTGAGCACTTCTTTTCTTTTTATCCATTATATTGACATCAGATTGTGTTATTCCAGGAAGACAAAGAGCAAATGGTTTCCAGCCAACAAGTGGTTTAAGACACTTTGCAAATAAGAGACAAGATGGTTGATCATCAATCATAGGACCAGGATTGAGTTCAACATCTTCTGATAAGAGGAGGAGCATACGTAGACAAACAATCAAATAGAGATCATTGTAAATCAGGTTAGAACTCCTGCCTCCAGCTAAGACTACTGACTGCTGGAGGTAATTTGTATCAGTAACAGTAACACCAGTAGTACATTGTACTTGGTAGCAGTTACCTAATAATAAAATACCAGTAAATATACAAGTACAAAGTTCCAATTGTTGTTTACCTGTTGGAGGAATCATCAAGATGTGTCTTAATAAAGAAATAGAGTGATAGAGGAGGAGGAGTAAAGCAATAAGAGACAGAGCTGCTGGCAGTTTAGATGTCTTCTCTCCTGATGTAGTACTGCCTGACTTGCTGTCTACTGCAGCTTTGAATGAGTGAGAGTGGTGGCCATTAGCTGGTCTACTGGAGGCAGCTTGACAGTAGTTCCACAGTCCAATACTTGCTCTCCATTGAGAGACATCAATCATCTTGTAATTATTAGTAAAGTATAATTAAAATGAACTATAATATACTTACCTCTATCACTGTTAATGATCAACTGTTGTAAGATAAAGAAATGAAAAGATA